ATCAGAAGAAGTAACCAGAAGTGTCAAGTCACAGACACCAACTGAGAAGATTAGTTTAGGTAATGACAAATATCCACCAGACAGAACTATCAATCCAGAGGCACTTTTACTATTTATTTATTTTCCAGTGGGGAGATTTAGGGGACCCACACCCAGCAGTACTCAGAGCCAAACTTACTCCTGGCTCTACACACAGGGACCACTCCTGGTAGGGTTCAGGGGATCATGTAGGATGCCGGGGATTGAACTTGGGTTGGTGGCCTGCAAAGCAAGTGTCTACCCACTGCACTATTGCTTCAGCCCCCAGAGGCAGCTTTAAAATTATGCAAGCACTTCTATATACTTTACATATGGTTCTGAGTGCCCGGCAAGCTACCGAGAGTATTCGATATGCCAGACACAGTAACAACAAAAAGTCTCCAATGGAGATGTTACTGGGCCCGCTCGAGCAAATCGACGATCAACGGGAGGGCCTTTACCTTTACCTTATGGTTCTGAGTATATCAGGCAAAGAGGATCCCTGAATTTAGCCCTAGTCTTGAAGATGTCAGCTTTCATACAACAACATTCATGATAAAAAAAAAACCTCAACAAAATAGGGGTGTAAACCCTTATCAGTGGTACCATTCTCAGTGGTGAAAACCTGAAAGCATCCCCTCTGAGTTCAGGCACAAGGCAAGGATGTCTATTGCTTCCCCTTTATTCAATAAATCATTAGTCATCATAGCAACAGCAATCAGGCAAAAAGGAGATCAAAGGTGTCAAAATTGGAAAAGAATAAACCAAATTATCACTATTTGCAGATGACATGATACAAACATAGAAGACTCTAAGGTGTTCATTGAAAAGCTCCTAGAAACAATAAACCAGTTCAGCAAAGTAGTCAGTCTACTACAAAGTTAGCACACAAAAAATGTGTCACATTCCTACATGAAACAAATGTATTTAACTCTCTAATATAAAGTTTTTGGACATGATTTTCTAATTGTTTTATTTTCTTTTGAAATAGTACAACATTGGTTAATATGATTACATATTATGAATTCTAATTTTTTGTGGAGCGATAGCACAGTGGTAGTGTGTTTGCCTTGCATGCAGCTGGCCCGGCTGAGCCGGGTTCAATTCCTCCACCCCTCTCAGAGAGCTGGACAAGCTACCAAGAGTATCTCTCCTGCACGGCAAAGCCTGGCTAGCTACCCATTACGTATTCCATACTGGACCTGCTCAAGCAAATCAATGAACAATGAGAAGACAGTGCTACAGTGCAGTGCATATACAATGAAAATAATTCTTTTTCATATAAGAATCAAGAGAAAGTGATCAGAATCTACTCCTTTCAGAACAGTCCTGAAAAAGATCAACAAAATCAACGAAAGAAGTGAGAGATCTACACCATGAAAACTAAAAGATACTTAAGAAAGAAAGACACTTAAGAAGACCATAGGAAATGGGAAAACATTCCATGTTCATAGATTGAAGAATCAATACTGTCAAAAATTACCACTCTACCTAAATTATTATATATATTCAATGCAATCCTTATCCAAATTCAGACAACATTCCCCAAAAACTTAAAACAGTCAACAAATAAAGTCTATATGGAATTATGAAACACCCCAAAAAGCCAAAGCATACCGAGAAATTTTTTAAATGGCATATATCTCATTACTTACTTTGAAACTATACTATAAAGGTATAGTGATCAAAATATCATGGTACTAAAATAAATCATGGTACTTAAAAAGAAACTCTCTGGCCAATGGATTAGAATAGAGTACCTAAAGTCAAATCCCTAGAACTACGTTCAATTAATTTTCATCAAAGAAGCTGGGTACATGAAGTTCAGTAAAGATAGTCTCTTTAGCAAAAAGGTACTGGGAAAACTAGATAAACATATGTTAAATAAAGAAGATAGTTCCATATCCAACACCAAATCTACCTCACACAAAAAAAGCAGATTCAAAGTGGATCAAAATCTTGAGGTCACACAAGAATTCATAAAACTCATCGAAAAAAATATTTGGCCTCTAAAATTGGGTCTCAAATGTACTTTCAATGATATGAATCCACAGGCAAAAGCAATACAAACAAAAATAAACAAATGGAACTATGTCAATTAAAAAGTTTCTGTGTAGCACCAGAAACACAAGCTAAAACTAAAAGAAACTAAAATGAATGGGAAAAAATATTTGCTTTTAGTCAACACATTAGATAAAAGATTAATATCCAAGATCTATAAAACACAAATAAATATCAATTTAAAAATCTCCCCAAACACCTATCAATAAATAGGGAGAGGGAATGAATAGTCACTTCTTTGAAGAAGCTAAATAGATTGCTAATAGTCACATAAAAAGTGCTTATCATAACTTTTTATCAGGTAAATCTAAATCAAGATGACAATGAGATATCATCTTACACAACTGACAAAGACACATATTAAAAAAATGACAATAAACTGTGCTGGCGAGGCTGTGGTAGAAAAGAGAAACCCTCATTCACTGCTGTTAGGAATTTTGTCTGATTCAGTCCCTATGAAAAACAATATGGCGATTTCTCAAAAAAGTAAGAATAGAGTTGCCATATGACCCAGAAATTCCACTTCTTGGTAACTACCCCCAGAACACACAGACACACAGACACACAGACACACACACACACACACACACACACACGCACATATAAAATTCATTCAAAAGGATATGTGCACACCATTACCCATTGCAGCATTCAGAACAATAGCTAGGACATGGAATCAACCAGGTGTTCAACAACAGATGAGTGGAAAATGAAGGTGTGGCATATATACACAATGGAATACTCTGCAGCTGTAAGGAATGATGAAATCTTACAATCTGCAGCAACTGGATGGAACTGGAGGATGTCGTGCTCAGCGAAGCAAAGCAGAAGAAGGACAAATACCATTTGATGATCTCGTTTTAGATAATCAAATGTGGTATTTGGAATAACCAGCACAAGGCAATACAAGGTATCACAGTAGGGGTAACTAGATTACCTTTAACTCTATATTATAGAAACAAGAAGGAGAAGGAAATAAAGGAAGAAATTAAGAAGTAGAAAAAGGAAGGTGAACAGGGTAGGGGCCGGGGCTTTGGGAACATCAGTGGTGTCAAGATGTGGTATAGGAATCTATCTAAATCACCAAGCCAGTAACACTGTGAACATGAGCCCCAATCTACAATAACAAAACTTAAAAATGTGCCTTCCCTGGTGGGAGGGATGGGTACTCGATCATTGTATAACTGAAACCCAAGCACAAAAATTTGTAAGTCTACAACTGTACAACTGTACCGCATGGTGTTTCACTAATAAAAATAAAAACTTTTTTAAAATGTGCCTTCCAAGGAGGCAGGCTGGAGGCAGGGAATACAACCAGGGACACTGATGGAGAGGAGCAGACACTGCTGGTGGAATTGGTGTTGGAATATTGTATTCCTGAAACTCAACTATGAGTAACTTTGTAAATCATGGTGCTATCATAGAAACACCTTTTTAAAAAAGATTCATTTTATAGCTATAGTAATTAATGCAAATCTTTACACTGTATAGTAATCAGGAGTATTTGATATTTGCATTGAGACAGACACATAAATCAGTGAAACACATATAGAGGTGTGTGAAGGAACACCTCCGGACTTCCATATTGTTGTGAACCAATGAATAAGGGGTTTTTTTCCTATAAATAAGTCATAGTGTGAGAGACTATTTATCAAAGAAGGCCCAGGTGACCCGAAGAGGTGGAATCAAAGCATAGCTCTTTAGTGGATGGAAAGAAAGCAGGAAAAATCATGTGATCACAACCATAGCAGAGATTATGAGAGGAATTTCCTAATTGAGATCCAGTTCAAAATAATTAAAAGGAAAGTGTAGGTAAGGAATCACCAATCAGAACGATTTAGAAAGACGTATTGTAAGACCAAAGCATACATCTAGACTGTGCATAGTACCATTAAGACCACAGACATGATTACTCCTAGAAGCTTTATTGACAGAGAGGATCCTCCTCAGCTATCCTCTGCATGACAGAGGACCCTTTGCACAAAAATAATAGGAACAAATCAAACAATGTCAAACGGGAGGCAAAGGCATACACTGAAATGGATAAAAAGAAATATCATAGTGCCAGTGTTAGCAAGAACCAACTCTTCCCTCTCATCCAGGGGCACTAAAGGAAAACCTTCTGAGCACTGTCTGATTCTACCTTAGTGGACAGAATTCTTCTCCCAGTGAATTTTCAATGGGTTAGGGTTGTAGGATAAGTAAGCAAGTGACCAAGTCACTACTGAAACAGTGACATTTGGTGTTATTTGAAGGAGGCATTTACTAATAGGAATCACCAAGAACCAAATATTGTCCTGCAGGAAGAATTTGGAGTTACTACCCTTGAAAATAGGAGGAACTCAATAAACATCTTCCTGTCTTCCAGCAAATGAACTCACTTCTCCACCATCCAGAGAAGCCCCTTCCTATATCTCGCTAGTGTGCTTATTTGTGGCCTTGTGGCCCCTGGAGAAGCCCCGACCACCCAGGTTCCCAAGGGAATTTTCTGTAAAATGTCTCCCCTTGAATGTATTTGAGGGGCTCAGAAAGTACCTTAGACCTATGATACTGCAACCACGGTCGTGCTTTCTAGAGACCAGGGTTAGGAACAATAATTAAGGTGACAAACAATCAAAAAGACTTAATATGAGAAGTAGTATTTTCTGTAAGTTACGGACAGGAAGATATGTCTTTAGGGTTTTGTAAGTTCTGAAAAACTAGATTTAAAGATGATGAAGGATAACTCACTCATCTCCTGGTCTTTGACTCTCTAGTTGAATGTTGACTTTAGCTCCACAAGGATAGATGATGAGTGGGAAGACATCTGGGTTATGACCACATGGCTCAGCTTGGCAGTTCTCTCCACCCTCTTGATCTGAATATAAGGGCTGTGCTGGGCACCTGGGATCTCAGTTCTTCAGGACACTCAATGCTCCAGCATGCTCTCCTTCCAGTTCCTGTCCAGGGCCAGTGCTGCCATCCTGATTCTCCTTCTCTATCTGCATCTGGGAACCAACAATGCTCAGAATAAGTGAGTTATCTGTTTATCCTTCCTGGGTGCTTGGGAGAAGGGGAATGCAGGGAGTGCTCCTAAAATAGCCTAGAAATAGGTATACCCCAGTCTCAAATCTGTTTCAACATCCTAGAACTCTACAGACACATCCTGGACACTCCAAAGGATCAACTTCTTAGGAAGCCCCATCAACTCCCCTCACAGTTACACAGGATAATTCTAAGCTGTCAGTTGAAGAGGACTCACAGAATACGTATTGGCATTAATGCAGTTAATTTGAGTCTAAGGCTCTGATTCACATTCTGTTCATAGTTTTCACTTTAGTTTAAATCTTTTCCACTTCTCACAGCTTGCCTTGCCTCCCAGAAAGTTGTGGAGGTTCAACAATTGCTTTCATCAGCTTTGGCAGGACTTACCAAAGAATTGGTGGCCTTGGTTCTTTGCCTAATTTTTTCTTAATTTTTTGCCTTAAATAGTGTGTGGCTTGGACATAGGGTATATTACCTAAGGTTCCCAAATAGGGAAATGTATCCAAATTCTCTGTATGATACATATACACAAATACCCAAATTCTATGGGGGGAAACTAGGATAATACTCAAGTTTGTAGACTTGGAGGGATCTACAAACTTCTTCAAGGCACAAAGATATGTAGGTCTTAATGGGATAGTATTGACAAGGGTTTTCTGTTGATAACAGCTTGATCCTCTTCCTCAACAAAGAATCAAATGAACCTGTAACTTGTAGTATTGTGGATATATTTATTTTTTAAACGTATTTTTTAATTCATAAAATATAAACGATGATCAAGTTTGAGTCAAAACTAAATATATACAAAATCACTATGACAAATCAAAACTAAGTTCTCTGACAATTCTAGTGCTCAGGAATTGACCTGCCTTCTACCATCACACCTCTCTAGCCCTTTCCTATTCCTTCTGCTCAGCTCCTGTACCCTGATTGCTGATCTCTGCCCTGCTTCTCTTTCCTAAACCAGTCAAGATACAATAGAAATGGAGTTCAGTTTCCCTGAAACAGTGGACGCAGGAGAGGAGGTGACTGCAAAATTAAATTTGAAAACACAACTGAAAGAATGCATGGTGGTAAGTGGAAACCTGGAGATTGGGGGTAGGGGGGGCTCAAGTAACATCCTACCTCTTCATTATGAAGACCATTAGATTAATCTCTTATTTCATTATTTTTAAATATTTCTGTTTTTCCTGTTTTGTGTTTTGTTTGGAAGCCACAACAGCTGGGCTCAGGGCTTACTTCTAACTTTTTGCTCAGGGAACATTCCTTGCAGGGCTCAGGAGATCAAATGTGGTGCCAGAGATTGAACCCAGGTCAGCTACATGCCAGGCAAGCATGTTACCCACTGTACCATCCCTCTTTCCCTAACATCTCATCTTATTATTACATGTTATCATTAATTATAACAGATAAGACATTCTCAAATTTGTTAGAGCAGCAAAATTATGTACTTGCCATAGATTGCTCTTCTCATCTCTGATGAAGGAACACAGGTCCAGAAAGGTACAGGAAAGAGTAAAAAGGGAGAAGGAAAGGGTTTTTCAATTGATAATAACTTGATCCTCTTCTTCAGCAAAGAATCAAATGAATCTGTAACTTGTGGTATTGTGGATCTATTTTTTAAACGTATTTTTAACTCATAAAAACATAAATGATGATCAAGTTTGAGTCAAAACTAAATATACACAAAATCACTATAGCAAATCAAAATTAAGTGCTCAGCAATTGACCTGTCTTCGACCATCAACAGGAGATCAGATAGTAGAGTTAAGAGGAAACAAGTGTAAGAGTTGGGGGAGAAATATTAGGACTTGAAGGGCAGAGAACAACAAGAGCTGGCAACAGGAGCTGGCCTGGCCTTCCGCCCAAGGCAGCCAGCTTATGGGCACTCCGAACCTAATTCCTATAGTGCCTGACCAGGTAAGTAGGGCTCCACACTTCAGTTGAACACTACCCAAAGTGAGTTCTCCTGACCCTTGCAGGAGAGCCTCTGCCTTCTGGAGGTCTCAGTTCATAATGTTAAACAGCAACTTGCAGTTAGAAAGTCCTCTGTCCTACGTCTGCAATTGTTTGTTCATTGCAGCACTCTTTACAATAGCCAGAATCTGGAAAAAACCTGAGTGCCCGAGAACAGATGACTGGTTAAAGAAACTTTGGTACATTTACACAATGGAGTACTATGTAGCTGTTAGAAAAGATGAAGTTATGAAATTTACATACAAGTGGTACTACATGGAAAGTATCATGTTAAGCGAAATGAGTCAGAAAGAGCGAGATAGACACAGAAAGATTGCATTCATCTGGGGAACATAAAGCAACAAAACGGGAGACTAACACTCAGGAATGGCTCAGATTAGTACCAGGAATTTTGCTCCATGACTTGAAGGCCAGCCACATGTGCTAGGTGAAAAGGAAGCTCAGATAGAGAAGAGAGCACCAAATAAAGGGTGTTGTGAAGACCCTCCCAGGGTGGGAGAGACATGCTAAAAGTAGTCTGTAGACCAAACATGATTGCCACTCAATGCCTCTCTGGCAAAACACAGTACTCAAAAGGAGAGAGAGAGAACAAGGGGGAATGCCCTGCCACAGCGGCAGGGTGGGACGGGGGGGGGGGGGGGGGATGGGGAGGAGGGATGCTAGGACCCGTGGTGGGGGAGGATGGGCACTGGTGGAGGGATGGGTACTTGATCATTGTATAACTGAAACCCAAGCACAAAAATTTATAAGTCTATAAATGTACCTCATGGTGTTTCACTAATAAAAAAAATGATTAAATAAAAAAAAAAAGAAAGTCCTCTGTCCTAGACTTCAAGCACCTCAAAAGAACAAACAACTACAAACACCTTCAGAAGTGAACTCCCAGTGCCTCTCTGGCCTCTGTATTTTCCCCTTGCCGCTAAGGATGACCACCTATTTCTTCTCTTCCTTCATTCTCGCTTTTCTTTCTCTCCTCTTTCTAGCCCAGACTAGCTTTGGGATGCCAATTTATGAAGACTAACCTCTCTCTCCACCTCCTCTTCCCCAGGTTAAAACTCGACTAAACAACCCTTATCCTATGGACACTTCTTTTACCCTCAGACAGACTGTCTGCCTTTGCAACGATTACCCAAGAAACTTATATTGGGACTTCATTGCTGAACGTAAGTACTGGTGTTATCAAGGAAAAAAATCTGTCTTGCAGAAGAAAAATCTGAGAAACAAGGCTTTGTATCAGACCAGAATCTGATAGAAAGACAGAATGGGGAGAACTGGGAGGCAGACACTAGGAGGGTCAATGGCAGCTGTGCCCAGTTATAAGAGAAACTAATAATGAAGATAATATATTTGAAAATTGTTTTTTGTTTCCTTTGTTTTTTCATTAGTGAGACATCATGAGGTACAGTTGTAGACTTACAAATTTTTGTGCTTAGGTTTCAATTATACAATGATCAAATACCCATCCCTCCACCAGTGCCCATTTTGTTTCCTTTGGGGGCCACACCTGGCAGTGCTTGAGGGTTACTCCTCACTCTGCACTCAGGAATTACTCTTGACGGTGCACAGGGCACCATATGGGATTCCAGTATCAAACCTGGGTCAGTCGCATGCAAGACAAGCACCCTACCCACTGTACTATCACTCTGGCCCCTGAAAATTATTTTTTATAATTGTTTTTACTATTATTTAATGACATGATTAGAGTAGTGTTAATTTTCTGGTTAAACCTTATTATGTTTATTGATTTTTTATAACTTATTAGTTTAGGCAACATGACTGCAACAAGTCTGATGTTTTTGGTTCACTGTCACTATCACCCCGTTCTTCAAATCGCTCAAGTGGGCCCAGTAATGTCTCCATTTGTCCCTGTCAAGTGCAAGTGTAGCCCAATGACATATTGGGGGCTCCTTAAGGGTCAGGGGAATGAGGACCATTCATTGTTACTGTATTTGACATATCGAGTATGCCACGGATAGCTTGTCAGGCTCTGCCGTGCGGGCGGGATACTCTCGGTAGCTTGCCATGCTCTCCAAGATGGATGGAGACTTTTGGGGCAGCTTCTAATCACCTTTACAGGTGTTCCTAGTCAGGCATATAGGCGGGTATGATATTCTCAGTAGCCTGCCAGGTTCTCTGAGAGTGAGAACTAGAGAATAAGAGGTCATGTGGCCGTGAATTCGGCCGCGCACTTCCGGGAGCTTGGTTTTATAGTCTCTGGATGGCCATTGATGGGGTTACACGGCAGTTGGTGGGTGTAACTGTCTAATTACTGGAAGGTGGGGGAAGTGGGTGGAGGAGGCCCAGTCCCAAACCAAGCAGGCTTGGAGATCTCAGCCCCGGGTCCCACACACCTGGGTTCCTCTGCCGGTTCCTCGTCCAAGTGTGTGGAGAGTGGTCTCAGCATGGCTATGGCTGGGTTTGTTTATGGTTAAACGATGTTTATTGATGTAGAAAGTCACTTCACTGCCTCACCTTCTAAGAGCTTAGAACCTTCCATCACTGTCCCTATGTCACCTCTCCTCCCCCTCTTCATTTCTACCACCCCTCCTTCCCACGCAATCTTGGGGAAACTAAACCTCGGTAGGGTGGTGCCAGATGCCAACCAATCAGCTAGGGCGCTGGAGTTCAAATGTCATCAGCAATGATCTGGACGTTTTTCTCTTTCAGGCACCATGTATATAGAGGCTCACGCTGACGCTGTTGCTGAAGTTGGCATCTGCCCTGAAAATAAGGCAGTGGTGCCCATTGTGGGACAACATAATGTTGTGTTTAAAAAATTAACTGTAATTGATGATGAGCAGTCTTGCTCTATGCCTTCCAGTGGGTTGTCTTCTACGGCTACTTGACCAGGGTAGCTCAAAAATAAACTTCTCATCGATGCCACAGAGACAGTATGAGGGATAAGTCCTCTGTTTTGCATACTGTCAACAGTCGCTTTATCCCCAGCGCCTTATCTAGTCCCCTAAGCACTGCCAGATATGGTCCCTGACACCACTGGGTGTGGCAAAGAAAAATAATTGACTAAATAAATAGACAAATTTCTCATGAGCTTCTTTGTATTCTGTAGATTTCTCATCAAAAATCTATCTCAATGGGCTAGAGTGATAGCACAGCAGGTAGGGCGTTTTTGCTTTGCATGCGGCCAATCCGGGTTCAATTCCCAGCATCCCATATGGTCCCCCGAGCACCACCAGGAGTAATACCTGAGTGCATGAACCAGGAGTAACCCCTGTGTACCGCCAAGCGTGACCCAAAAAGAAAAAAAAAATCAATCTCAGAAGAATTCCAGAGTAGTTAGAATTTCTAGGACAATTATCTTTCAAAGAACTTTCATTGAAGAGAGATTATGAGTTGCCAATGCCCATCTGTGGGAAGAGAGAGGGAAGAAATAGAGAAGAGGTTATTCTCACAGAATAATCTCACAGGTAGGGCATTTTTTTTTGCATGTGGTTGACCTGGGTTGGATCCCCAGCATACCATATGGTCCCCCAAGCACTGCCAGGAGTAATTCCTGAGTGCAGAGCCAGGAGGAACCCCTGAGCATTGCTGGGTGTGACTCAAAAAGCAAAATAATATAAATAATAACTTATTTATAAATTATTGAAACTAGTATATATTTTAATATAAATAATATAATTTCTAGATATAAGGTAAGGTAAGGTAAAGGCCCTCCCGTTGTTCGTCGATTTGCTCAAGCGGGCCCAGTAACGTCTCCATTGGAGACTTTGTTGTTACTGTGTCTGGCATATCGAATACTTCACGGGGAGCTTGCCAGGCTCTGCCGTACGGGCGAGATACTCTCGGTAGCTTGCCGGGCTCTCCGAGAGGGGTGGAGGAATCGAACTCGGGTCGGCCATGTTGGCTGCGTGCAAGGCAAACGCCCTACTGCTGTGCTATCGCTCCAGATATAAAATATAAGTAAATATTTTAGTGGAGCCCTAAAATTCACAGCAAATAAAGTGTGGAACTGGGACCAGCCATATCCCACAGGCCTACTCCATTTCCCTAAACATCCCCCCAACCCCACCAGGAATGACTTAGATGCCAGAAAAGGGGAGTCACTTGGTATATAGAAGAGTCAGGCACAGAATAATATATAACTCTTGATATGTGGAAGAAACATATTGTTTTTTCTTCTCTGCTCTGTCACATGTCCTGTTAAAAACAACCACAGTCTTCTATGTTGATAGATTGGAGGATTGTTGAGTCATTAGATGAAGGAAATTCTGCTGTCAATAATCACAAAATCTGAGGGCAGTGTGCAAAGTGATGAAGTCAGACATGGAAAGACAGACAGGTAAGGTAGAACACACTCATAGGTGGAATCTGGAAAAGCTGAGCTCACAGAACAGAAAGTTGATGGTGGTTTCCAGGGACTGGAGGAGGGGACCCCTGGAAGATGTTGGTCCAAGGGTGCCCACTGCTAGGTGGAAGATGAATAAGTTCTGACACCTAATCCGCAGCATGGTAACCATAACTCACAATACTGTATTATGGTATTATGTTTCTGCAGACCGATGGTAGAGAAGACCTTAAATTTTCTCACTATAAAATAAACACAGTAACTATGTGATTTCACGGGGAATTTGGCGAACCCTGCCTTGGAGGACTTAGCTAGCTCTCTACTGATTATCATTATGCAATAAGTGAGCATATCATATCAATACATTGTGGTTATTAAAAGCAATATGTAAAACTAGCAGCGCTAGGATATCAAGTATATAGGCAGGCTGACCTGGGACCATACTCCTGAACTCCACACTAACTGCATGCACACACACATACACACACACACACACACACACACACACACACACACACACTCACACACACACACACACACACACACAGACCCCTCCCTTCCTACCTTATGTGGTCCCCTTCCAAACCTCCAACATAACATTTAAACACTGCAAATCTTCACTTCTACATTAGTTCCACCCTTTGCCTCTTATGATTTCTTTGTCCATAAATACAGCTAGCATTCATAATTGCCTACTCCAGGAACATATAAACAAATAATTTTAAGCTACATGAGTAGTTTGAATTTTGTATCCCCATGTCTTTTTCTCCCTTTACATTCTCTTTGTGGTGGCTGTTACACAGCTCTGATGACTGGAGGCTTGCATTACTCGCTGAAGGGATGTTCTTATTAATTATGGTACCCCCAGAACACTCTAGTTGTAGTGTTCCTGGTGCCAGGATCCTGTACTAGCACTGCCTGCATTGCACTCAGCATGTGAGAAGGTGCTGGGGACCACACTGGCAGCTTCAAACCTGCAAGACACATGCTTTCCCGTTGAGCCACATGGTTGGCGTGGCTTATTATGTGTCTTTAAAAGTACGTTGAGGTGGCCGAGATTAGTACCAGGAATTTTGCTGCATGGCTTGGAGGCCAGTCACACATGCTAGGGGGGAAAGGCAGCTCAGATAGAGAAGGGAGCACCAAATAAAAGGTGTTGGGAGGATCCTCCCAGGATGGGAGAAGCTGGAAGTAGATTATAGACCAAACATGATTGCCACTCAATGCCTCTTTTGCAAACCACAACACCCAAAAGGAGAGAGAGAACAAAAGGGAATGCCCTGCCACAGAGACAGGGTGGGATTGGGGGGATGGGGGTGGGAGGGATACTGGGATCCGTGGTGGTGGGAAATGGGCACTGGTGGAGGGATGGGTATTTGATAGTTATATAATTGAAACACAAACACAAAAATTTGTAAGTCTACAACTGTACCTCATGGTGTCTCACTAATAAAAATTAAAAATAAATAAATAAATTATACATCCGGTTTTTTTAAAAAAAAGTGCATTGAGGTATTTCCATCTCTTTTACATACTAAGGCTTTGAAGCCCACAAGGAACTTCACTGATGAGTTAATCCAGTCTGATGAGCCAAGTTTCCGGGACTCATGGGCCACTTGTAGTAGTGTCTACTCCTTTAGACACTATAGGTGTTAAACATGCTCACTTTCTCAGAAACCTAATAGAGCATTAGAAGAAAGAGACTTGACAATGGACTACACAAGCTTATACAGCTACCAAACCTATATAGCTGCATGCACACACATACACACATGCACACATCACCACTCTTTGATCCTATACTGAAAGGGTAGATTTTTCTCTGAGAACAGTGTTTCTGCTATACTTTGCTACAAATTGTTTGATTCCGTTCCTTCCGCAAGCTGTTCCTTGTTTGCATTGGAGTTCTTTCTGCCACCATAGTTCTTGTTACTTAGCTGAAACACCCCTTTCTCCCAAAAAGGTCATTCATAGCCTGCTGAGGGATTGTGAGGGTAATCAGAAGTGTCAAGTCAAAGAGACAAGTGGGAAGATTAGTTGGGCAATGAACAGCAAAAAAGTCAGCAGACACAAATATCCAATCCAGGAAGCACATGTGCCCCTGGTCTATCACCTCTTGGTATTTTACTTATGTCTCTGAGTGTGACAGATTTAAAACATTTCTTGGACTGAAGACATAATATATTTCCATGACTTGCATCTTGAACCAAGAAAATTATGTTTTGAAACAGAGGCTTCCAAACTACCACCCCTTCTCAGAAACAAGCAAAAAATATTGTTCAGTCTCCCCCTGAAAAAGCAAACATCTTTAAGCACACAGTGAGCACCTCTCCAGAATTTCACCTCAGAGTATTACCAACCCCTGGATCATTGCAGTTACCTTTCAAGGTGGGAGCTGGGGGCAGATAGAAGTCTCTCCCACTTACCACAAGGCTAAGTAAAAGGTTTCAGAAGAGAGGTGACTAGTTATGGTCCATTAGACAGAAGTAAGGGCTTAGGAGACCCACTCTGGCCTGATTCCTTCCTAAAAGTCACAAGTCAAAAAGAAACCCTGAAGTGCTTACACTTCTTCACGTAACTGCTGGTGGGTATATACGCATCTCCCAAACAAAACAGATAGGGCAGCAGGAGTTGAAAATCAAGGCACAATCTCCTATGACTCTGAGCGTAATTAGCACAAATATTTGTATTACAGCTGAGGTTCTCTCTTTGGAAAGGTATCTCTGAGCACTGTATCAGGGCATTATTTTTGCTGTAATTTCACAAACATACAAGGCTACTTGTTTCTTCTTGTACAAATATGGGAATCGAGCAAACAGCTGCTCTCTCCCCAGTTCCTTTGCAGCCTCAAAAGACACAGTTTTGAGTAAGGGATCCAAGTTACCTATGGTCCTCCCTCTCCAAATTCAAGTGGTACAATTCAATTGGTACAATTCAGCATGACCAAGAGAATAAACAAATAAAAACCGAGAGAAAACACATTAATGTTCAAGACTAGTCTTGCTTTCTCATCCTTATGTCTAGCTTTCTCTGACAGATATGGCCCTGGTTGGCTGGGCATTGCTTGGATGCCCAAGAAGCAGAAATTTGATATGCATCATCTTAATGGACTCTTTCTTTCAACCTCCACAACCCAGGCTTCTTCCTGTGTTTCCAATTTATTTTGCTAAGAAAGAGTAGCAATAAAGGCCTGGGGTTCCCAGACTACTCTTTTTGTTAAGGCTCTTTGTTAACTTGCTATCTCCCACACCAGGATTTAAAAACTGCTGAAATACTGGATGAGAAACTAAAAAAAAAAACGCTTTTGACTCTTACTATTTGCTCTTTAATCTTTGACTCACCCCTTTTACTATTTACATCAGACAGTGAAGTGGAAATGGTAAAAGAGAAAAGTTTCATACAAATGATAGACATAGGAAACATAGTGAGAAAAACATTTGGAAATTGACTTTAAAAATATGTTGTTGATAGCTGTTAGAAAAGATGAAGTCATGAAATTTACATACAAGTGGTACTACATGGAAAGTATCATGTTAAGCAAAA